AAGCTAATCGAATTGTCAATGCAAAACAAATTATACCAGCAATACCAGCTAAAAAAGAAAGTATCTCAAAGAGTCGTAATGAAAATAAAACATTTCTACTTACACCAATGATGAAATGGATTAGTATAACCTGTTGATAAACATAAAAATGCTAAACCAATTGATTCAAGTGTTTCTTTTAATTTTCCTTCCATAGTAGCTGATGTTGAACCTTGTACAGATATTCTAAATACAATATTAAATATTTTGTTCTATTCAATCATTTCAATAATACTAATAACCTACTTATTTTCATTGAAGACAGCAGTAAAATAATCTTGTACTCTTACAACTCCAAGAATAGTTTCAAAAACAATAATTGTATAACAAAGAAGAACAAAAGTAAACGAAATATAGAAAGATGTTTGTTGAAACTGTGTTTCTTGTAAAATAGTCCAAAGACAAACAACATTAACTATTTTATCACAAAATGCATCCATAAAACCACCTAATAATGGATCATCAATATTTTCTCCATAACGATGTCTTTGAACTTTTGCAACAATACCATCAACATGATCAAGAAAATCATGAAATAGAACAAGTAAACATGCTGATATTGTACAATTATATCTAAATAATCAAAGTTTTTGCAAAAAGAGATATTTCGAAATATTTACTTGAGACACCAAGCAATTGGTATAATAAGAAGTGTTCGAGAATAAGTGACTATATTTGCATTGAAGACAGTTATAGTTTTATGATGAAATTGAATAAATCGTGGAATGCATGCCATATATGGTGAAAGATGAATTTGAAGTGGACTGTACATGTATAAATCATACCAAAGAACCTATTTTTAAATTATCAAACAATCGATAAAATATTGAGTTTTGTTTTTGTACTTACCATTCGAAATATAATCGATTCAATAATATAACCGATATATATTAGAAGCATAAGAGCAATATGAGCCGATTGAAGTAGCCAGTTGAAATCTAATAGAAATTTAATTAGAAAAAAAAATTCTT